AATAAATATCGTAATATCTTACCAACGGTTCCGATTGTTTTTTATTTAATTATGTTCTCATGATCTACGCGGTTTGGGGACCATAAGTGCTGCTTGGCAGTCACAGTGCCAAAGTCTGTTCCTTGCCCCAGTAGCCCACATGGCACACAGCGCATTCGCGTCGCTGATCCTTTTTCGAAAGCATCACTGCTCTCTGTATCGCCCCGTTCTACGACAACGCCTCGCTTTGTTAAAATAGAGGTTTTATTAAGAAGTAATACTGATTTCTTTACGATAAACTCCTCGCTGAGTCACGGTTCTTAAGGAGATCTTTCACCACATACTTGGGATTTCTTCCAGAGCTCTATTCCTAAGTTTGTCCAGGTAAACCCACCTTCTTCGCGTAAACGTTTGAATACGAGTCTCGATTGAACTTTGATAAAAATTCGGAACAAAAATTACTGTCAAAATAAACGGATCTAATTTGAATTCTCTAACATGTTTGAGAGTCATATAGTTAGGCATCTTGTTTTCGTTAAATGAAGTATCCCTAAGTGTTTAAGAAAGTAAAGTTGTATATAAATACGGGCATCTGATTAACCACATACATTTGCGCGAAGGTCAGGTTCAAATAACTGTGAACGAATTATATATAATAGTCTCTAAAATATATTCGACACAAAATATACTTAACACAAATAATTATTGAATGCCTTCAATCTGATAAAACATTAACTTACTTCCGATAGCCCCCCACCAGGGCACCTATTCCAAAATTGTTTCTTTTCCAATTGAAGAAATTTGCAAAAAGTTGTATGGACTTTTTCCCATGTACATATACCACATTAAAATATATGATAGGAAATTGATTAAGAAAAAATTGAATGATAAGCATTTAAATCGCTATACAAAAATTAATTGAAAGGCTACATTTATATTTTATTTCAAATGATAGAATTTAACATCTTTGAAGAGGAAAAAACTGGTTTTGTATAGCGAAGTACATCTGTGTCCTTCTCAAATCTGACGTCAAGAACTTTTAATGGAACATGAAGCTTTAAATGAAGTACTATGCGTGCCATTGATATTTACGTATTTCCCTTTCTCAAGTTACTGGAAATCTGCTCTAAAATTTCGTACTATCACAATTTCTGAACTCGGAGGGGAGGGAGGTAGTTGTTGAAGGATCATGCCACAATTGATTGGACTTTTGAAGTAGTGTGCAAGGCAGCATTAAGGTTTCAATGCTTGTATTGTCACGTAAAGGATTTTTGATTTCAATATTATAAGATGTTTGCTAAAAGTTTTAAAAAATATAATCTTTATTTTATTTCAAAAATCATTGAAGAGTAATTTCTTTATATGTCTAAAACCGAAAGCAAAAGAATGTCTTAGTTAAAACATAATTTTATCATTTCATTTCCCACTGTGAATCACATATAAGTATTTTCAATTTTAATAGTTAGATAAGCGGTGAAAAATATAATATTTCAAATGAATGAGAATGAGGATTGAAAGTGCAACGAATAGAGAAATGTCTAAAAAGAAGTAGCAAGTAAACTATGCAAGAGTATTGCTTATAACATTTATGACCAATTTCGCGGCGTCTTGCACGTTCTCTAATTAACGGAGAGTTCATTTCAGGGAGTCCGCGGGAGCACTATAAAATTCAATTTAACCTGTAACGTAAGTCCTTAAGCTTGTGTGAGAAGCACGGGCGATTGCTTCAGGGTAAGTTAGGGCTCAGTTGCATCACCCTGCACGGACAATGGCAACACAGTGATTACATATCGCGATAGCGTCTCGCTCGCCGAAGGTGACAAGGACGAGTCAAATGAGAGCGAGGACGAGATCCGGTAGCTGCGACCGAGGGCAGCGTTTAGGGAGGAGGCAATAAAAACGAAGCAAAATGATGCAGGAGGCGGTTGACGAAGTGAGGCAGCAAAAATTCGGTGGAGAGATAGAGATGAGCGTGAGAGTCAATTGGACGACTTCGTGCGGTCAAGGACCAGCAGGTGGTCGTACTGGCGACGAAGGCAGAGGCAACGGTGAGAAAAAGGAGGTGAGTCTAGAGGTGAAAGCCGAAGGTAGGTAGCGAGGAAAATTAAAGGAGTGATTCGCTAGGCAGTGACTGTCGGAAGTAGGGTCGGGAGCCAGGAACGGGGCGTGCGGTGAAGCGGTGGCAGGGACGGAGTGAGTGGTAATACAGGTGATGGCGGCGGTGCGATGCAGAGGAGGTTGAGTCGGCGAGTTTAGGTGGGAGAGATGCAGGAACGGTGCGGAAATGGGGATCAGTCAGAGGTGATGCGGAAGCGGGAAAAATATAGGAGTGATCGATAGGCAGGTCGGCACCAGGGACGGGGGCGGATGAAGTGGCGGCAGGGCCGTAGGGAGTGGTAGTAGAGGGTATGACGGGGGCGGGGCGATGCAGAGGAGGCTGGGACGGCGAATTTAGGCGGGAGAGATGCAGCGGCGAGATGGATTTAAGAGAGCGGAGGTCTGGAAGGCAGCGGGAGGTTAAACTCGAGCAGGAGCGGCGGCAGGGGCAGAACGGTAGCAGGCGGTAGCGTCGGAATCTGTGGCGTCAAAGAGGTTGAGATGCCGGGAAGGCGACGGTGATAATGCAGGGCGGCTGGAGATGGAAGTCGGTGCTCTGCGGGGAAGAGATCGTGGATGAAATAACCTGCGGCAGGTTTGGTGGCAGCGGAAGTATAGAGGTTGGCGGAGCAGGGGGGCGATGGTAGACGTGGGCGGGCGGAGATGGCAGTGGGTGCTCTGCGGGGGGGATATGGAATAATTGGCGGCAGGTTTGGAGACAGCCGTGGCAGAGGGGTTGGCGGTGCAGGGGGCGCTAGTAGACGTGGGCGGGCCGTGGCAGTGGGTGCTCTGCGGGGGCGTGATGGAATAACTGGCGGTAGGTTTGGAGACAGTGGCGGCAGAGGGGTTGGCGGAGGAGGGAGGGCGACGGCAGACGTTCGCGGGGCGAAGATAGAACCGGGTGCCCGGCGGCGGGGGTGGGCTCGCGGGTGTAGTAAGCGGGCGGAGGGTCGGAGGCCGCTGGTGGCGGCAGCGACGGCGGCGCTCGAGCCCCTGAGTTGGGCGGGCGCCAGCGCCGCTAATGATCCCATGCAATCCGGGCGGCCGGAGGGGCAGCGACGGCGGCGCGGCGCGGCGCAGGATGGAAGCAGCCAAGGCTGCCTGCTATTCTTGTGGCGGCGGAGGCGAAAGAGGAGACGCTGCACGCACCCACGCACGCACGCAGATACCTGCGGCGGCCGCCGCCCCAGCGCCGCGTTCCCGCTTCCTCTCGCTGCGCGCAGCGCACAGCAGTGCGGAGACACTGTTTGTTACGCGATGAAGAGACCATTTGGGGTGAAAGTCAGAATTCGAAAAGTTAGAACGCGGTCAGATGTAGGTAAAGTAATCGTCCTTTGACCTAGCCACATAGCTGTCTCTATCGGTCACTAGACGCCGTTTATGCAGGACAATAAGTCATTGAGAGACTGATTCAGCAGGTTTTACTGTAATCGTAAAATTATGCATTTAATTTCGCACGTTAAAACGTTAAATGAACACATTAAAACGTTTGCACTGGATGTAAACATTAATGAATAAAATATGTGAGGATGCATTCTGTTTCTGTACACATATTCCCACTCTAAGGAATGTTAAATAAATTAAATAAACATGAAAGTGTTTTAAACAAGTATGTTTAATTAATGATCATATGGCATATGTGATCAATATGGTGTCCTTGAATTGTAGCATGAATAAAAAGTACATGGACTGTACATAAATTGCAAGTCTGTTTCTCGCAACTGTACTTGGTGACCAAGTCCTAACAGACCACATTTTCTGTGTACTTAGGAATTTGTTAATAACATGATGGAGAATTTAGATTTTTCGTTTGTGAATAATTTACAAACAAAAAAATTATACATTTTTCAGCAATTGACATGCAGATGAGAGAGAGATTCAACAATTGTTTTTAATTCCTTGAGGTATTGATATTCTTAAATTTCACAGAATACATCATATACATAATGATATTCACTGAATAATCTAATAAAATAATACAGTAATGCAAGTATTTTGGACAGATAGCTCTCCCAATTTTTCTGACGACAGAAATACTGCAATGAAATCTGTCTCTATCGGTCAGTACAGGCCGTTAATTTAGGAAAACACATCATGAAGGAGGCTGATTCAGCAGATTTCATTGTATTCGTAAAATTATGCAATTAATTTCGCACGTTAAATCGTTAAATTTGCAAATTAAAATGGTTGCGCTGGATGTAAGCATTGAAGAATAAAATATGTGAGGATGCTTTCTGGTTCAGTATAGTCATTACCATACTAACGAATGCTAAATAAATTAAATAAACATGCAAGTGTTTTAAACAAGTATGTATAATTACAACGCCTTCAAAATAAAAATATCCTAATTTTCAATATTGAATAAAACCGGTAAATCCCGTGTGCTACCCGACTCCGAACTGCCGACTATCAATACCAGACACATCCATTGGCCTCTCAGTGTCTCTATACCAGGGATAAAAATAATTCGATGGTGTTAAATACTTCCACGGTCAAGAATAAAATGCAGGTTTCATATTCCGAAACTTATCTTTCACTGATCATTCCTGTTTTTCCTGTACGCTTTTATTATAAATGAAAATTGTTACTTAACTTCATTGATAACAACATTCCAATGTGCATTAATTACATCATGAACCAACGCGTGTATTTCAAACTTGTCCGAAGAAAAGTTGCTGTTGAAGAAGCGCAGCACATACTCAAACGGTTTCGTCCCGGTTGGCAATATGACAGAGCTGTCTCATTTTCCGCGTTCTCCGGGTCCTTCGACAGTCGTCAGAGAGATTTACGGTTCTGCAACGGTGACGTGAACATTTAAAACAAGTCGCAACTGTTAACAGATAATATAAAAAGGCAGGAAACATAATATTCGAAACATTTTTAATCAAACGTAAGTAAATGCAGATCTTATTTATTATTGTTTCGAAATATTTCCATATTGGCAGTCATATCATCTCCTGATTTTTGAGTTGCTTCCTAATGCCTTCTGCTTCCAATTACAGAACACAGAAAATTCAAAAACCAATTCTTCTGGCTAATCGTGTAGAATTCTGCTCAAAACATTTCCTCTAGTCTTTGATTTTCTAAGACAAACACAACTATGAGTTTTTTTAAATTGCTCCATTGTAGTACATTACTTAATTATATGTTGTATGGCGTTTATAAATCTAACTTCGGCTGGTAGAAAATGAAATCTATCAATAGATCTATTTATGTTTCTACAATCTATCTACCTATCTATCTACGAAGTAAAACTTTGAGAAATTTCGGCGGGCGGATGATCCTAGCGAGTCTGATTAAAATATCTAATGCATTTTGGAAATGAGGGAAGATGGTGTTTCCATGCGTCGCTGCGAAACACTCAAGACAGTCCGCGAACGCTCACTTCAGAACTCAAACACGACACCTCCGTGGTAGCAGTAATGACGTATGAGTTACTCATAATCATCAGTATCATCCTTATTATGTAACAAGAAATAATAAGTAACTACATAAAAGTAAACAACTTTATTTAATCATCTTCATTGTAAATAGCATGCATATCATCAAATAACATACACCTCATGTAAGTAAGACACAAAATATTCAAGAGAACAGCAACAACAATAACACATGCGTGAAAAGAAACAACATGCAGCAGCGGTAACTAAAAGAAATACCCCCTAGTAAACTAACAAAACGCAGAGAATGGAACGTTATCCTAAGTATTCTTAGTGCTATGCAACGTACCAAGTGATCCGCAGGCAACACACCATAAAATTCTATAACCTACAACGCGAGCAATATTGGGTTATTTCAACTATCTCTGACCCCGCACTAGGGCAGCCATTTGTTCTTCACTGGTCTTCGAGAACAGTTGTGGTACCATCAGAAACCGATTGTACAAAGGAGCCCTTTCTCCTTCGTAACTCGGTATTTGTGCCGTACAAATTTTAATCAGACTGGAATGTACAAGGGCAGAAGAGCTGTAGAAGGTCTCGCGCGAGACTAGCACCGATTCACAACGTTCCAGCATTTCACTGCCGCGCCGGCGTAACCTTTGCCAATTGCACCAAAGCATTTAATCGCCTCGATTGGTCGATCGACGAGCTCCAGTCCAACGGTTAACCTGACCGTGACATACACGCCCCCCACGGGGGAAACTGGAAGCTTTGATGTGCCGCGCAGAGACACGATCACGAAAGTAGAGAACAGATCTATCTAGGTCAATGCGCCGGCCATGCGATGCTATTTTCGAAAGGGACATTCCCAGGAACTGAAAAGTTTTTCTGCACACACACACACACACACAGAAACACACACACACACAAACGATTTGCTATTGCCGGTCGTTTTTTGATGATTAGGCTCATTTTGAATGTTTTATATGAGGATGGGTTGTACGCTGGCTGTGTCAGTTGCATTACTGGTTATGATGATCATCAATAAAATCGTCGTTTGGCACGGCATGGTATCTACGTAGTAATTGAGTAAGTTGTATCCAAAGTTCCTGTTCGAAATAATGGACTAAGAATATTTTCAATCAGTAGAGTTTAAATATTAATGGTGATCTGTGCTAATAGAACCATGAAAATTACTGTTTGAACATGAAAATATATTTTTTTTCAAGATATATCTTTGAATTTTCCTCTCGTCAAGGATTTTCACTGGAAAAAATAATAAAGGGGTTCATTTGAAAAAAAGATTGTTAATTATTTGCATGAATGAAATTACCATAGAAAAATCCATGACTGGCGTGTTCTCTCATTCCTTTCTTAGCAAATTACCTTCATTATAATTAGTTTAGCGACACATTTGGAAGAGTTGACCTATGAAACATTTAAGCGTTCAACATATTAAGGGTCTGTGAGATCAAGGACCCTTTCTTTCGAGATGCTTCAATGAACCACTGAAGTGAATTTCCAAGATCCTCCAGAAGTTTTTTTTTATTTTTTTTATTTTTTGTTACACTAATAAAACCAATTCTTTTGCATTAATTGTATTGCAATTCTTTTGCACCAATTATTTAGCAAGAATATGTGTGTGTGTGTGTGTGTGTGTGTGTGTGTGTGTGTGTGCGCGCGCGTGTGTGTGCGCGCGCGCGTGCGTGAGTGCGTGTGTGATTTGATCAGTTATGGTTCTGTATTAGTGTTTCATTGTATTTCTGTGTTTCCAGTAATGAGTGCAGATGAAAATAGTGATTCCTTTCGCAAAACGAAAGTGTTTATTTCACTCACAGAAAGGGCCTTGATAGCAAATAAGATGTGCACATATTTTTAACAAGATCAGCAGAAATCTTGTACTCAGATTAATAGTATTTACGCTTTTTTTCATTTTATGTTCTTTGAAAAATTAATTTTGAGCATTATTACGCAAAAATGCATTATTACAAAAAATGGAATTGAACATTATTACTGGACTGAAACATTATTAAATGAAATTACTACAAAAATTCAATTAACTTCGCTTTCAAAACATTATTTTCGACCATAGAATCATTTAGTCAGGCGAACCCTCAATTCTCAAGGATGCCCTTTAGTGAAGCCACTCTCAGCGTCACAGGAGCACGCTGCAGCGTCCAAACTCTCGGAACCCAACGCAGCCGATTCGAGTTTGGCGTGCGTCCTGAAACGTTAAATTATGCACCATTAAATAATTATGTTATTCCTACAATCAATCATTCGCGCTCCGTTGGGATCACGGCTGATTTCCGTGATAGGATGCTGGGGGGGGGGGGCAAGAGCCCGTCGTCGTTCAACCTTTGTGGTGATCAATATCATTTCCATTACGATAGACGCAAGGCTTTTCTGCGGCAACCTCTCGAAAAATGGAAAAGCTTTAAAGGCAAAAGCCAGCTTTCGCGTACAAGTTTGGAAACTGTGCTCGGCACTAAACAACAATAGAAAATGATAACTCCAATACATTCAACATGTCTCGCTGAAACATTTGCGCATGGTGCTAAAACGGATGGTAATTTGCGGCGTGAATTAGTTTGTGAGAAAATAATTAATTTGCTGAATATTTTTTAACATCCCGTGCGCAAAAAAACATGGTTTCTTATGCCTGTTTTCCGCACGCGTAAAATCTATTTTTTCTACACCCGTTACATACTTCTCTCATTTGATGATTGCAACACGTCGCATTATGATGCCTATTACGACACAGATTTCATTACGATACAGGTTATTGACCAATCATAGAAAAGTTAACAAACCAAGTATTGACAATTAATTATTGAGAATCGTTCTTGTCAACGTTTCGTTCGATTGTGTCGTCTCAGTGCTAGCGGAAACATTAGACTGACGTTAAGATCAGAATGCATGTCACTTTCTTTTATATGTTGCTGCCGTGTGGTTCTCTTAAAAACCTACCAATTATTTAATTAAAAATTTTTAGTGAATGAGAGGTTAAGTTGGCACGTCCAGTAAAGAGGAAAAGCGAAATTGGTGACTTTGGAATTATTGCCACAACTTTTGTACTCTCTTGCAGGTAGACTGGTAAACCAAAGTCATCTGCAGCAAGGTAATGTAGCTGTCCGCTTGGTGGTCTTGGCTGATTCCTGCATGAAAAGCTGCCACGAAACGATTCAATGTAAAATTTTAACTAAAAAAGTTACCATAAGTTGTATACAAAGTACCCTATGAAACTCTGTGAAATGGATATTAATACACTCATGTATTAAGATTCATCATTACATCATATCATTATGTACTATTTTTAATCTAACACAGTGCGAAATATATTAAACGTGTGCGAGACATTTTTCGCGAACGGGGAGTTCAACTATAAGTATATGTTTATTGTGCGGAAGGTGTTTCGCGAGTTCGTCTTTTGTCGACCTTGCATATGCTCGGGAGACCAACTCGACCCGAGCGCGAAAAATCTGTTTCGCGCCTGTTACGCAATCTCTATATATACAAAAATAGATATCAGTTTATACGAGATCGATAAAATCGGACGTGTAACCGATCTCCAAGAAAATTGGCATATACTGGTTCTTGTTTATGGAGAAAGTTTTTCATGCAGTTCCCTTTGTTGTAACTTTCTATTTCAAGGCGCCTCAGTTACATCCAATTCCCAATCCACATGGGCTCCACCTGGGCCACAGTAAGACTAGGTTTGTCGTGTGATACGAGGCGGAGTAGAAGGTGGCAGGGCGCAAATCTGGTAGTATACTATAGTATTTATTTACGCACCGAGGGTGGGTCATGGGGCTTCGTGTCGCCTTAATTCATTAGAACCAGTTAACGTCTGTGATACAGGCATGTTTTTATATTTGCCTAATTTTAATTATTCACATTTACTTACTTTCTAATTAACTATTTGTTAACTTTACTCGGTTTGTCAATTCTTGTTTTCCTCCCACAATTCCCTCTCACAATTCTCTCCGTAAGAGAACTTTTAGCAACATTCACCTATTTTTCATATTTCCCTCCTCACTATGATCCTCTCGATCTAGGCAAGGTCTTCTTCTTCTTCTTCTTCTTCTTCTTCTTCTTCTTCTTCTGCACTTCGTGGATTAGGCTTGAGCGTGTTCCGTCTTTCCATCGTTTTTTCGGTCTTCCCACGTCTCTCCTTCCAAGCGGTTGGTAGAGTAAAGCTAATTTAGGTAGTCTTGAGTCATCCATCCTTTGCATGTGGTGATACCAATTATCTCGATAATTATTTATTTTGCTTCCAATTTCTTCAGCATTTAATTTTTCTCTTATCTTCTCATTACGAATATGATCTTCTTTCGTGCAGCCTAGCATTCTCAAAAACTTTATTTCAGCGGCCTGGATTCTGCTTAATGTTTTTTTTTTGTTGGTACCCAGCTTTCGCTTCCGTATAGAAGAGTTGGAAAAGCCGTGGTGTTATAAAACTTCATTCTTGTGACTTGTCTTGTCTTGTTTTTTAGTGTGTTATGTATAGTACCACCATCCTGAATAATTTATCCCAAGAAAACCCGTTGTGGGTCACCTAACTTCCGTATATGGAAGGTAGGACCAAAGAAGATGTATAGTACCACAAATCCTTTGAAACTTTGCCAATTTAATGTTAATATCTTTATTGGTATCTTGATCGATCTTGATCTAGGCAAGGTATGCAGTGAATATCGAGCTCCGTGCCGAAGGCAATGACACGCCATAACGTATGAGTAAAAAATTAATTACACATTATGTATGCAACTTCCACTGATTTTGGATTCCGCCGCGTCAAGAGCACGACCGCCGCCCTCGGTGCGCTCGCCCCGCGTGGGCGTGCGCGGCTGCGGGCGCCGGCGGCCGCCGAGGCGGGCGATAAGGTCTCGTGCACGTGAAACGCACGTGCCGTCGGGGTCGCGTCCAAGGCCGCATGCGGGCGCGGCATGCGGGCGGAGTAACGAGAGGAGGGGGTCAGGTGAGGTTGTGGTAGGACCAGATGCCACGGGGTGCGACGGGATGGAGCTTGGTCGAGCAGGATGGAACTGGATGGCACGGGATGAGATAGGAGAATGGAGTGGGAGTGGGAGTGGGAGTGGGAGTAGGGTAGTGTGGGGAATGGGTCACGTTGAGCGGGCTGGGACAAGGTGGATTGGGGGCAATCGTGGATGAAAGGACTTCTGTGAGGGCTGATAGAGATGGGTTGGGATGAGTGAGTCGGCAGGCTGGAGAGGTGTGCCCAGATGGGGTAAGGATGCGCTGGAAAGGCGGGGAGGTGTGACGTGGGGTAAGACGGAGCCAGGGGTAGTGAGGGAGGTCGGGAGGGGCGGGATGAGCAGACGGAAGAGCGGAGAGGTTGCAGGAGGCGGAAGTGGGTGGGATGGGTGGCGAGTGAGGTGAGGCATGAGGTGGGAGTAGATTCTGGGTGGGTTCGGATCGGGAGGGGAAG